TCTGGCAGGTGACCCTGTCCTGGTCCCTCAGCGCTTTGGGTTCACTTTCAGTGTGGAGTTTGTACTCCTGGCTCTTCTCATGCCTGTCGCTCCTACCTGGGCTCTCAGCCCACTCTAGATTTATGAGTTTGAATGGGTGGAACTTGCTTTTACACCCGGGAAGGACTCCTGGAAACATAGTTTGAGACCAGATTTGGATAAATGGAACTCAGTTTTTACTGCTCTGGTGAAAAGAAACCTTATCATACACCTCGAAGGGAAGATATCTCTTTCTAACTCAGTTCAGTTATTTTTTTTATGTAGGACTTGGTTGTTTGCTGTTTGAGGGGGACACTTCCCTAAAGGGGTACCTGCAGTATTGTTCTTTGATTTCTTATCACCATCTGAATTTGACAGTCAGGTTTAGCATGGAAGTATACACAGGTCACTGGATTTGACAGTGACCCATGGCCACCTGGTTTCCTTGGATCCTGGCAGGTGTTGCAAACAGGGACTTGATCCTGTGGGATGGCCATGGAGGGACCCTGTCCACAGACCTCACGTCGCCCAGGTGTCACTGCACTGAACACCAGCTTTGCTCTTCTCCCACCTCGTGGGTTCTGTATGCCAGAGGCCCACATCCTACGTCTCTGAGCCTTCCATTGGGTATTAGGTATTTCCATCCCTATTTCACAGAAGCAGCAAAAGAGGCTCAGAGATTTGCTAAATGAAATTGCCCAAACTTGGCGAGCTCGGTGGCAGAGTGGACACAAGAACCAAGCCTGTCGTCACCATCACCCATCATTACTGTTAGTCTGCTGCTCTGTCTTCTGAACCTCTTCAATTATCTGCCGGTTTGACCTGGGTTTCCATCTCATACACGTGTTAAAGTGGTTTCCCTGGAAAGCATTCTTTGCCTCTGGAAAGATTCATTTCTGCCAGGTTATGCTCATGTTGTCAGCGAAGTCTAGAACATCAGAGAGATACCTTGGAGATCCATAAGCCCAAAGGTTTTATTTTGAGTTGAGCATCGAGGCTCAGAGAAGTCAAGCTGCTTGCCCAAGGTCACAAAGCAACAACCATTTGCGTGGCTTCTCAGCCTGCGGGGCCTTGCTTTCATCTCACCCCATGCATAACCCTGCTCTGAAAGTCTCTCAGCTCTGCTTTGATAGGATAAAGAGGTAGATGGAGAAAGCGGGGAGAGCAGTTGGTTTGTGTTGGTCACAGCTGCTGCACTGGCCAAGCCTGCCTGTGCTCCTTCACCCCTTGTCTCTTAGCTCGCCCAGCCTGGAGCCAGCGACCCTGGACCCTGTCTTCCTGCTGGCCGGAGGGCCAGGGCAAGTGAGCCAGGGGTCCTCCTCTGTTTATTGCAGTGGGGGAAAAGGGAGTCATTCCCACCAGGGAGAAAGGGGACTCTGAAGGTGGGCAGTTCGGGGTGGAAGCAGCAGACCTGGATTAATTCCACAGATCCAGGGTACTGGGAAATAAATCATGGGTTTAAAGAAGAAAAAAATACTTTTTCGAAAAAAGACAGACTCGTTTCTGGCCTGCTTCCCGTTTTCCTTTAGAGAGAAAGAGAAAGGCGCGTCAGCCGGCTGGTGGGGGCTGGAGAAGGCGGGCATGAGCTGGGCTTGATGACGTTTGACACTTAGCTGTGAGGACACGGTTTCCAGGTCTGAGGAGGCTCCTGGCTTCTAGGCTTGGTTGAGCGGCTCTGGGTGAAGTCTCCAGGAGTTCCTGCACCCTGATTCCAGCTGACCCAGTGTCTGCAGGCTTCTCTGGGAAGTGTATTTTCTCCTGTGTCCAGAATCAGACACCATCTGGCACACATCTTTGGGGCTTTCAAAGTGTGATTTTCATGCTGCACCACCCCCACCCCGGCTCCTTACACCCCGGGAGCCAGGCTGCTGGGAGATGCTGCTGCTGACGGCTGACTGTTCCCAAGCACTGACTGTGTTCTAGGCACTGTACTGAGCACTTAATTACTTCTGAGCTCGTTTAATCCTCACCATGCATTTAATCCTCACCTCTATAGTCTTCATGACAAGTGAGGAAGCCACAGAGAGGCTAAGGAACTTCCCTGAAGGGGCAGAGGCTGGATTTGAACCCTGGCAGGCTGACTCCAGAGGCTAACCTGTTAGAGGGCCAGTTTCTCAATTTACAGTGAACCCTGGAAGGGCCAAACCTCTCAATGCCACGTCCTAGCTAGGCTACTGTAAGAGGGGGCTCACTGCACAAGTGGAGAGAATCGGGGGCTTTAAGTGGTGAAGTAGCCTCAAGTTCAGATTACTTGAGGTCCGTGCCCATCCTCTCAAGAGCTGGACACTGTACTAGCTGTGTGACCTTGGCTGAGTTACTCAACTTCTCTGCTCCAGCCTGCAATGTGGATTGATTGCTTTTATATGGACGGCCTTTGTTATCATGGTTTATAACTTCCACTGAGTAGTGGACTATGGAATACAGTGCTGTGGTCCTCCCAGGGGAATGGCTCTTTTGCTAAGAATGCCAGAAAGGTGCATGGTACATCTGTAGATAGGTTGTTGTTGCTGGGTTCACTCAAGTCCAGTACAACTCATAGTGACCCTATGAATAAGACATCTGAACCCTGCCCTGTCCTGTGCCATCATCACCATCTATGACACACTTGAACCCATTGCTGCAGTCGGTGTGTCAGTCTGTCTTGTTGATGTTCTTCCTCTCTTTCACTGACCCTCCATCTTTCCAAGCACTCAGATATGGTGTATCAACCCTGAAGAAGGGAGTAGTTGGTTTCGCCGTCCTGCTGGGCTTAAGACAAGCCATCTCAGAGGCAGATGGGGAACCCCACTACCACCAGAAAAAGAAAGATGCAAGTGGGGCATGTCTTTTGGACCTGGAGTCCCTGTGATGAGAACCTCCTATATCCAGGAGACTGAAAAATTCACACTCCCTGCCATTGAATCGAAAGTGGTTCATAGGCTAAAACTCCGGTGATTTCTTTTCCCCCCAAGGCTTTAAATCACATGTGAGATTTCCCATCTTCTTCCTTTGGAGCTTCTGGTGGATTTGAGTCATCAGCAAGGCACTGCCTTTGGGTCAGTAATGCAGGTCACTATGGACTATGCCACCAGAGTTCCCTAGAACCAGGAGACAGAAAGTGTCATAACATCAGAGACGGTCAGAAGCAGTGGCAGAGAAATGGCAGTAGTAGAACCAGAAGACTAGAAGGAAACAGTGCAGAGGGCTTCCTGGGCATGCTGACTCACAGAGCTAGATGCCTTCGGTAGGAGACACGCTGCTTGAGTGACTCTGGGTCCTTGGCCACATAGCTAGGCTGAGCGTACTGGAGGAGTAGACTGTCCCTGAGCTCTTACTGGTGTAACCTTTGCCCAAGCAGGCGGACAGAGCTAAGGCACTGAGGGCCAAAGAGAAGCTGGCCTTCACACACAGCTAAAAAAGAAGTTGTCCTGGCTGAAGATCTATGTCCTGGAATGTTCCTGATCGTGAATTATAAACTATTACTAAGTCCTATAATTGTAAATATTACCTGTTGAGTTCTGTGTGGCCATTGTAATGTTAACTACAGCAGGGAAGTAGCAAGTACATGAGAGGGTCGACTGGTGTCAGAATTGGCAGGAAGGCTAGAAAAAGGAGGTATGACTGCTTCATAGGTAGGTGGTGAGCCTTGGGCTAAGAGAGAATATCCCATTCTTGTTTGGGAGAACAGAGCGCCTGCCTCTCTCTTTTTACACTTTCGGGTGCTTGTGCAAAGTGAGTGAATGGATGAAGGCGCTCAGCCTGAGGGTTGGCACACGGTGAGAGCTGTGAGAGTGAGTGAGTGCTGATGTTAGGGGGGTTGTCACCATCAGTCACAGGATCTGGCCGCCTCAGACTTGCACCTTCGTGTTTCCTTCTAACCGCCCGCCCGTACTGTGGCCAGTGTTCTGCCCCTACTGTGGCCAGTGTTCTCTCCCTCTGCAGGCAAAGAGCAGTCCTGCAGAGAAAGTGCCAACCTTGGAGCCTTCCAGACCTGGCTCCATTCTGGCGTGGCGTCTCAGTGGTTGTGGGAATTCGGATCAATCCATTCTCTTGTCTGAACTCAGTACCTATAAAAAGGGGTTAAAAATGTCCTACCCACCTCTCAAGGTTGTTGGCGGCAGACTGGGTCAAGTGAAGGCAAACCATTGATGCTTGTTCCATAATGACCTTTGGTTAGTCTAGAAATATTCCTACTATTGATTAAGCGAAGAGGCTTTCCTTCCTGTCTTGTTAGAAAGTTTCTGTATCTCAGAATTGTGTGGTCTTTTCTTTATGGGGTTTTTATTTTGTTTTTCCTCTTGGCAGGAGGATAACTTGTAACCCCCATTTTACAGATGAGGAGACAGAGGCTCCGATTGGACATGACTGTCTGAAGTGAGAATAGAGCCCTCGTCTCTGCTGGTTGCTAAATACCCCTGCCTTTTGAGAGGGGAGAATAGGGTGGGAGACTGGTGATTCTTTGAAAAGAGGTCCCGTCTAGCCTACCAGGACAATCCTGTACAATGCAGATGTAACAGAGGTGGACAGAAGGGGGCCACAGTGGACATAGGCCCTAGAGACTAACCTAGATACTAGCCCCAGCCCTGGTGTTTGAGATGCCCACTCTAGGTCACTAAGTCTACTTACTGGCTTGTATGGGATCCGTGTGGGGCCAGCCACCCACATGGCCCAAGAGGACGGTCCAAGTTGCGTTCTCCAGGGCAGCGATAACCCACAAGTCTCCTGTTCTGGTGGGTGGTGTAAAATTCTCCAGGCTCCAGAGAAGTCTTACATTTCAACAGACACCTCATTATCCCTATCCCAGCAGGCAGTGTCCCAGCCTCTGTAATCACACAGGCCCACACCCAGCGGCCAGCCCAGGGCCAGGAAATCACTCCCCTCCCCTCCCCCCGCCTTCCGCTGGTTGCTGGTGGACCTCCTGCCTGTCCTCTAACGTCTAACGGTTCTTTCTCCTCCTCTGATTCTTCTCTCCTGCTGCTGCTCTCTCTCGGGGGACTCGGAAGTGTGGCTGTCCAGCTGGACTGAGTCTCCCAAGAAGGACTTGACAGGTACTGGCCAGTATGCATGTGAGTGCATGCGAGTGGACATGTGTACCCCAGGCATGTGTAAGTGGGAGCCGGTGCCACTGGTCGCTCCCAATTTGCTTCTCTGTGATACGTGGCAGCTCTTTTGTCAGCATGGCAACCCTCTCCTCTGGTCTCTCAAACTGCTTATGGTGCCTTTTCCCTTCCAGGGCTACTCTTTTAAGCCTGGAAACCCCTCAGTGGGGGTGATGGGCCTTGTAGCACAGTGTGTAAGCACATGTGCTCTGGGCCCAAAGTCTGGGGGTTTGAATCCCAGCTGTGCCCCAGGGCAGGTTATGTCACCTGCCTCAGCCCTCTGTTTCCTCATCTGTGCAATGTGGATGGATGTCTTCCTCGTGGGGAGACAGGGCTGGGGCTGATTGAGCACTGTCATCCTTTTTTTCTATTGGAAGCATGCTACACTCTGTCTTAGGGTGGCCCTTATTTCTGTTACCATTCTCTGAGATGGACCAGCCAAAGATTTCTCTTGTTTTCAGGCAGAACAAATGAAGCAGACAAATGAACCCCTGGCTACTGGGGCTGGTTCCAGTGGGACAGGGGTCCTGGGACTATGAGGGTTGAGTCACAACCCCTTTATCTTAGTCTTTCCAGAGTGTGGAGCTGCCCCCAAGCTCGGGGGATTTGGCTCAGACTGAGAGATGACCCCTCTGGAGCTTGGACAGAGCTGGATCAGGGATTAGGGCTGGCCTGGAGACTTCAGTCTTACCCAATAAAAACGGCAGAAGAATCTACAGAGCAGGCTTCTGAGCTGCTCCAGAAAGATTTAGAGGCAAAGGGTGTGGACAAGTGGGAATTGTCATTTTCAGAAGGGTTTTCCATAGTGCCCTTCATTTCTTGTGTTCCTTCCCTACCCCCCTTCTGTAGCTCCAGACCCACAGGTCATTGAGAGCAGAGGTTCAGGCTAGGGTTAGGGGACAAGACAGGGACCAGCCACTCCTCACCACAACTGTGAGGTGTGAATGGGAGGGAGACACCCCAGGAGGGGATCCCTTTCTTGCTCTTGCCTAGCCCCAAGCTCCTCTCAGCTTCTCTGGTGTCCTTTGTGTCAAGGGCCCGGGTCTGAGCTCATCGCTGGGCTCCTGTCCCTTTTTCCCCTCTTCATGAGCCAGTGAGCAGAAGCCTACTTGGCTCACAACAATACATTTTATTCACCAAACGTATAGCTGGGCTGCCTGTGGGCTTATGGAGAGGCCGGCAGACCCAGCCCAGTCTGGGAGGATCCAGTTAAGAGGAGCAGGAGAGACTTTGGTGCATTGCCCAGGGGTTGGAGGTGGGGTGGTCATAGAGAGTGTGGGGAGCCCAGGGTGGAGGCCACCACCAGGGCTTGGCTTCTCAGGATGGGCCCAGCTGTTTGGAGCCAGCAACTCAGGGGAGGCAGTGTAGGCTGGGGACAGCAGAGGGGACACCAGCCAGGCTGGGACAGTGGAGCCAGAGTCTCAGCCAAAGTGACTAGGCCTCACTGGGCCTCCACTTCCCCATCTGGAATGTTGGAGCGTTTGATGAGACTGGACACTCAGAGGCAGGGGGCCTAGGAGACCTATGCAGGGGGAGATCACGGTCTTTAGGCTGCATGGCCTTCTGATTGAACGTAGAAAGGCACAGCACAGGACATAGCTTGGGCCCCTCTCCCCACCCACCCTTCCACAGGGTAGCCCTTGCTTTGAGCCGCCTCCTTCTCCACCTATGGAGAACCCTGAACCCCTCCAGCTCCTCTCCAAAGTTTCCATTTCCTCCGCTTTATAAACTCCTAAACACAGTTGACACAGGGCCTTGATCCAGCACTGCTTTCCAAGCTCAGAACAGCCTGACGAGGTAGGCACCATGGCTGTTCCTGTTAAATAGACAAGGAAGCTAAGGCTCAAAGAGGTTACATGTCCTCTGCAGAGTCGTGTAGCCCACTCGCCCAGTCAGGGCCGTCCAGTTAGAGCCAACTCATAGCTGACCCTTCAGTGGGTTTTCAGAGGCTGCAAATTGCACAGGAGGAGATTGACCATATTTCTCCTGCAGCGTTTCTGGTGGGTTCGAACTGCCTGGCTTTAGATTGGAAGCACAACTCCTTACCCAGTAGGCCAGCAGAGCTAATAGATTGAAAGCAAGACTGGTCAGATCTCTAAGCTGCTGCTTCTGTGCATGCTAGGCAGTTGCGTCAAGCATATGACCATTGTGTCCAGTGCTTTGTCCTGTGGTGCCAGCCCTGGGGTCTCTGCCCTCCTTTGCAAACTTTGTCTAAAGGACATGGTGTGGTTGGGGAGCTGCCCAGAAGGAAGTCCCGGATAGGTCACTGACCTCTACCCAGAGGATAGACTGATTGGGTCAGGTTGGGATTGGTAGAGAGGTGAGAAGGCATTCCAGGCAGGAGTGCGGCCAGTGTAAAGAAAGGCTCAAGAGACAAGGACTTGTATGGAATAGGTGCCTGGCGCACAATGGGCACAGGTTAAGTGTGTTTCGGACTGTGACCGTTTCCTGGAACAGAGGAGTTGCAGATCAAGGAACTGAGGGGCTCAGTTTGAATTTGAATTTGGCCTTTATTCGATAGGCAACAGGGAGCCATTGAAGGTGTGGAAGCAGGGGAATGACTTGGCAAAACTTAAATTTAGGTATTTAAATTGGCAGGAGTCAGAGGTCCATCCAGGTGGTAGCTGGAGGAGCACAGGTGTGAGGCCAGGGTGGAGCAGGGCTCTAGGGACCCCGGGCTTCACTAGGCCCAGCTAAGGGCTGTGTCATGAGGCACAGAGTACCCCCCTGGACAGGACTCAGATTCTCGCCAAGTCTCCTCATAAACCTGGGAGGGACTCTCCTGTCTAGAAGGCAACAGACAGCCCTTCATCCCACTTTTGCCAAAGCTTCTCATCTGAACTCAGGAGGCGCCTTCCACTGCCCCCTTCCACCCCTTAGACTGCCTCCTCAGCCCCTAGTTTTACTGGGCCTCAGCTGGGAGGGGATCCAGGGCAGCTCTGTGGGATGACATCACCACCTGTTCGCCTGCCGAGTGCTTTCTCATCGGGATACCTGCTCCCAGCTCATGCACGCACGCATCCCTGCCCAACCCCACAGGAGGCAGATGCCAGAGGCAGCCAGTGCCCTGGAGGAGGAGAAGACAGCCAGGACAGCCGAGCACATGTCTGTATATCTGTCTGTCAGTCTCACAGCTCATGGAGGAGCCTCCAAGAAATGTCACACCTCGTCTGTGCTCTGTAATGCCTGGAGGTTTGCTGACGTTTCCTATCTGTATCCTGGAGTGTTGGCCTTCAGAAAGCTCAGGCCAGTTTTCAAAGTAGCGTGTGTATGTGTGTGACTTGCCTCTGTTTCTCCATTTCCTCTCTTTTCTCTGATCCTTTCTCCTCCCACGTTTAGATGTCTAGACATCTAGGTTTTCCATATCCCCAAAAGTGAAGTCTAGCTTGGTTTATCAGTAAAACAGACCATTGACTCTGTCATCTGTCTGCCTGCCCACTGGTTCAGAGGATACAGCAGCAGTAGACAAGGACCCCACACTCCATGAATCAGCAGTGTGCCAGAGACCCCCAGAGAGTGAGGGCTGCTCCTTGCCAGGCATCTCTGAAGGCCCTGCCCAGTCCAGCTGTTAAGAAAGCAAGCGATGGTAACAGGCTGCCTGGAGTTCCAGTCCCAGCCCTCCTAAATCCCAAATGTGTGGCCTTAGGGAAATTGCTTAACCTCTCTTGCCTCAGTTTCCCCATGTATAAGACGGGGATTACTAGGTCCCAACTACTTAGCAAGCAAGTCAGATTCATTGGTCATAGGGTGGCTCTGCGTCACAGTGGACTCGACAGCGTCGAGGACTGAGACGCAGCATTAGACCCTTGGTTTAATTAATAGCAGACACTGATAAAGGCTTGGCATTACTAGCAGTGGAATCTGGGCGCTCAGGATTTGGAAGTGCTCCGGCCTTCTGGGAAACTCCTGTCTTCTGTTTGCATCTTGGCTTTTCCTTCCCCAGTTTCCTCATTCACCCAGTACCCCCCACTCCAAATAGGAAGGGAGATGCCGTGCCACCGAGGGCAGGGGCTAGCCTTTATGTACTGAGCATATTTAAGTGCTCATGTCCAAAGGACACCACCCCCCCACCCCAAATCTCCACTGACCTAAGCCCCATGCTGCCTGGCCAGGGTTCCCAGGACAGGCTCTGACCTCCCCCCAGGGCACAGTGAGAGGTAGTCTCAGTCAACACTGCCCATCATCTATCCAGCTGCCAGGGGCCAGGCACAGGAGCTGGCTGCTTCCTAGCACAAGGGCGACTGGCCCTGCTGCCCAGCTGTTGGTTGCATTTTTTCCTGAAATACTATCCTGGTGCTGAACGGACAGCCTGGGGCTGTGAGTGTCCATGTCACCCACCTGCCCTTCCCTCAGGCTTCCACAGGGCTCAGCTGGGCTGCAGGACCCTAGTCATGGGAGGAAGCTTCCAGCAGCACCAAGTTCCTTCCCCTCCCAGGTCCTTCCAGGATCTCCCGGCAATGTTTCCATCCCCCCTGCCCAGTATGGATGAAGCCCCCTCCTCTGTGGAAGGACCCGAAGATCCAAGGAGTGATTCTCCTCCCAACTGCACATGAAAAGTGGGAGCAAGAGAGTAAGAGAAGCCAGTGGCTGGGCCCCACTGAGATCAGTGAAATTGAGGCTCCAAGGGTGGTACCCTCACTTCTGTGTGTCTTGATAGATAAAAGTTCTGAGGTTGTTCTTAAGAATCGTCATGCTTGGTCATTGTGCTCCAGTGGGCCACGTGAAACAGGAAAGGGGCAGTTGGTTCATGATGGAAAGAGGTGGCTTGAAGCTAACCAGTGAGTGAATTTCGTTCTTTCCATTCAGAGCACTGTGAGGATCAAATGGGTCAGTGTACGTAACATTCACAGATCACACCCAAGCCTATGGGAGGGAATGTGGCTGCAGCCTAATGTACCCAGGGATTGGAGTCTCTTTCAGCTCTTTTTACAGCCAGGTTGGTCGTGTGAATCCCTCAGCTCTTCAAAAGATTGGCAGGCATATGAGGGAACAGACAAAGTTTAAATATTGTGCTAAGAATTCTCTTCGACCTATGAGTAATCCAGGAAGGCTACTCATAGGAAGTGACAAGTCTCTGGTTTGTGAATCCTTCTAGCTCTTAGCAGTGCATGTCTTTGGTGGTTTATCCTCAGGAGCAGCTTGTCTAAAGCTGTACAGTCACTGAGATGAGATACCCAGGTCCGTCCACTTTGCAGTTTATTGAATGTTGCCCTGGTCCAGTGTTTGAAGATGACAGAGAAGGAAATCACTCTTGGGAGCTTTGGATCCGCCTGCTTGCCTGCACTCTGCTTCTTCCCAGATTTTAACCCAGAAAAACCCACTGGGAGAGGGCAGCTGGAGGCTGCTGGGAGCTGACCACAAGCCCCCACATTTGAAGGCAGAGAGAGACTGAGTCTGTCCATGTGGCTGGAGGGCAAGAGCCAGGGCTGACCAGCGCCCTCTGTGGTTGGGGCGAGCAGCACTGAGACTGGTCCGTCTGCCCCAGGCCCTGAGCTGGGTGCCTGGGCCTTGGTGATCAGAGGGGCAGAAATGGAGCCAAACTTGAGGAAAAGTTGGGGGTGTGGGGGTGTGGGGGTGCGCAGAGCTCGCCAGCCGCTGGCTCTGGACTTTCTTCTTGGGTTTCAAGTAAACAGTCTCGGCCCTCCCCCCCCTCCCCTGCCTCCACCCCCGGCTCCTCATTCGACGGGTCTCATGTGTTTCTATTTAAGGGTTGCGAGTAAACCCCAGTGATTGGCAGGCTCCAACCCTCTTGACTTCTCGCCTGGGCCGGGGCTGCAGAAAAGCTCTCTCCTGCTCGCTGGCTCTCTCCCTCCCGAGGGGAGGGCTGCTGATTTTTTCCTGGGGGGTTTACAGGGCCGGGGAGACATTCTCCGCCTTGCCTTTCTTTTTCCCTCCCTTCCTTGCTGGCCTCAGCCCTCATGGGCCGCCCACCCGCCCCGGCCCTCCCCTCGCACCCCAGCCGGCCGGGGAGTGTGGAGAGCCCACGTCCGGCCCAGGCCTCTCCTCCCTGGACAGGGCTCAGACGGTCCCTCATGCTGGCCTGTGACTAACGCAGCAGAGGGCTTCCTCCCGAGCGTCCCGGGCCTCGCCTCCACCTCCATCCCTGCCTCTGCCGCCTCCCTGCCCCGCCACCCCCTCCCCGGCCCCTCGCTCCCCATGTCCCCCGGTCCCCGCGGTGCAGCGGGCCGGTGTGGGGTCTTGCTATATGGCCTGTCCTTGGGGCCCAGCGAGTTGCGAGCCCTGGCTGCAGGCAGCCCCCCGGAGCAGCACTGGCGACGACGGAGCAGCCTCCCCCGAGGCCGATGGACAGGGGGAGCCCCGGGCGCGGGGCCACGGCTGGCCGCTGGCTCACCGCGTGCTTTCTGCCCTCACCAGGTGCCGAGAGCAACGCCGAGCCCATGATCCTGGAGCAGTACGTGGTCGTGTGTAACTTTAAGAGGCAGGAGAACTCGGAGCTGAGCCTCCAGGCCGGGGAGGTGGTGGATGTCATCGAGAAGCACGAAAGCGGTGAGTACCCCGTGGGCGGCTGTCCACTCGGGGGTCCCGCCCCCCACCCCCACCCCCTGCTCCTCTTCGACCAGCCTGGCAGGTTTTTGTTCTGTCCTCCTTCCCCCACCTCTGCAGCTATACGTTGTTTCCATCTGGCAGGGAGAGGGCTGTGGGGGCTGAAGTTTCCCGCTGTTGGTTTGGGCCGCAGGCCAGCAGTTTGCCTGGTGGTAGAGGAATGTCTCTCCAGCTCGGGGTAATTAACCGGCTCATGTAATGCAAGGCCAGGGTGGCAGCCCTGCCGTGACCAGCCAGCTCTTGCCCAGGACCCCGTGCCACCAGAGGCCTAATGGAAAGAAGGCTTCTGGCTTAGAGGTGTCCAGCAGCAACTTCTCCCATCAGGGCCACATTTCAAGCCAAGGAGCAGGCTGGGCTGGGAGGACTCAGTAGCTGATGGCAGAGGCAAGCCGTGATACCATTCTGCGGGGTCCAGGGTCCCCGGTCCCCTGGTGTGTTGTCTGAGAAAGGGCCAGGCCCAGGGGAGTTGTCCAGTGTCTGAGTGCTGGACTGGCTTCTCCTGGGACAGTTCTGCAGCAGCCACTTTGCCACTGGACACTGAGGTCGTGTCTCATTTGGAGCAGGTGCTGGTGGCAGCCTGGGAGGCTGCTGGCTCCAAGGCTCATATAAACCAGGCTCAGGTGTTTCCAGGTTCTTGGCAGCAGCAGACGGGCAGGTAGAGAAGGGTGGGAGTCTGTCCATTGAAGGAGTCAGACCCACACAGACTCCTGGAGGCTTGGAGTTGGGACTTGGGTCCTGCTGGGGTTTGAACCCGTTCCTGGGATATTTTGTTTCACTTTCAGTTTATTTCTGTGAGCTGTGCACCGCAGTTGCAGGGCTGTGCTTGGAGGGACCGCCCAGTGGGGAGGAGTCTCTTCTCCACCTCATCCCACTTTGTTCCTTCCAATCTTTTATTTGAAACCTGCAAGGAAGGCAAAACCAAAGCACGACTTGGCCCATTTTATAGATGGAGTAACTGAGGCAGACATACTCGGGGAAGAGGCTTGCCTGAGGTCAAAAGCAGAATTGGGTCGTTCCTGGGCTCCCCATCCATAGGCCTATGGGAGATTGTGGGAGAACTGTGGAGATGCTGAGAGTGCCCGTGGGCATCCCTGGGAAGGGAGCTCAAGACCCTACTATGAATGAGTCAGCAGATGTGCACCCCAATGGCAGGACTGTGACGCAAGCATAGGTCTCCATAGCATGTGTTCCCCCCCCCCCCAACTCCTGACATTGTAAGGCAGTTGGCAACACAGTCCCCGCCTGGCAGAGGCACGTGCCGGGCACAGAGCCTTGGCCCTTCACCCTGAGTACACACAGTGGGCTTCTGCTTTCTGGACAGTTCTGCCCTCAGTTTGTGTCTTAGAAACAACCCTCTTTCCTGTCCCCCTAGAAAATTGACACTGGATATTGTCATGGGGATCTGTCCTGAAAATCTCGACTGTCTTAAAAAACCAAAAGGAGATAGTTTCTAATGGTGGAATGGGAGGTTAGGGGAGTGTGAATTTTGTTTTGGAATTTACACCAAGGAAGGACAGCCACACACTACTCCGTAGACGGTCAGGGCTGCTCAGAGGTAGAGTTCTGGCTTAGAGACTCTCCTATTACCTCACTGGCTCTGTCTCTCATACAGCGGTCAGCCACTGGTCAGGGTGGCTAAAGAGAAAACTGCGTCTACCATATGGCTTCATGATTCCCATGGGTGTACATGTCCTCTGCTGCCCTAACCCGTATCCAGGGCCCTAGGCCCCTTGGAGTCCTGTCTCAGTGGAAGAGCCTTGACAAAGCGAGAGTTCTAGGTCAGCCGCTGTCCCTAGAGGCATGTTTCTGCCGACCACCACTAGCTGCGTTGTCATCTCATTAATCGCTCTGGGCCTCAGTTACTCTAGCTGTGAAATGGAAGTGATCTTGCAACTGTTTAGAAACAGAGGCTTGAACAGATCGCCCCGCTAAACCCTCACCAGTCCTGAACCCTGGGTACTCAGTGCCATAGGTGTGGGGTGGAGAGGATCTCCCCAGAACATGACTGTTCTAGGATACTGGTAGCTTTGTACCTTCACGTTCAGTAGAGACAGCTACTTGGCAGCAAGTATTCACACCAGGACCCTAGAGTGCTGGGCCCGCATGTACAAGCCTGCCTGCTCTTGGCCATAAGAAGCCAAAAGCCCTGGAGTATAGACCAGCTTACCCAGAGTCACTGAGGGAGTGGAGGGGGGAAAGAGAGAGCCAAACTACTCAGGAAGCTAGAGATCTGTTGGGGGAAGGAGAGGTGAGTGAGGGTTTTGAACTTGGAACAAAGACCCAATTGTGATGCCTTTGACCTTGGACTTGGTGGGCGTGTTAAGGCATTTCCACTGTTAGGCATTGTTGGAGCAGCACGCCCAGACAGCACCATGCCCGCCTTCAGGGCTTCACGTCATTCACTGGGTGCCAGGACCCTGCCTGTGTCCCCTTCACCCTGGCTGAGAGTCCCTTGATTAGAGTGGCCATCTACAAAGGGGTCCAGTTAAGTTACACTTGGCTCCGCTGCCCAGCAAAGCCTTTTGACTGGGACCATAGCTCCTAAGCAATTTGAACGTGTGGGCAGGCCTGCGTCTCCCTGGTCTAAGGAAGGAGGGTGTGTGTCTGGTCAGTACTCAGTAGTCAAGGACCTACCTACAGTACACGCTTAAGTTACTGGGATCCAGGACCAGTTCTGTGCAATAGAAGGCACTTTGACTGCCTTGTGGCTGAGCTACAGAGTGAGGTGAAGTGATTTTGTTAGGGAGGTAGTGAGACCTGGGCCCTCCGTGGGCCATCAGGAAGAGCGGGATGTGCAGGGAAGCAGGTGGACCCTGCAGTGCTGATGGCCCAGGTGTAGGAGGCGTGGGCTAGGTGAGGTCCTTGGTGCTTGCGAGGTAGAAGGACATCTCTCTCTCCTGTCTGCATCACGGTGAGCACCCTGCTGCCATCAGGTGGGTTCCATGCTCACCTGTATGGGAACATTGATCCTTTGAATGAGGGGTGAGGTGGAAGCAACAGCCAACCAATTAGGGGGAGATGATGTGTCCCCCACCTCCCAGAACTGAGGATGAGCCAGAGACATCTAGAGTGTGAAGTCTGAATGGGTCCAGAGAAAGCACCTTTATTTTCCCCCAAATGTTATTTATCTGACTGTGCTAATATATACATAGCATAGCATTTGCCATTTTAACCATTTTCAGATATACAGTTCTGTGGCATTATATCCACAATACTACAAGGATTCTGAAGCTTCGTCTGACATATTTTGGGCATGTTGCAAGGAGGGACTGGTCCTTGGAAAGGGACATCATGTTTGGCAGAGTGGAGGGGAAGCGAAGGAGAGGCAGACCTTTGGTGAGATGGATCGATTCTGTGACTGGAGAGGTGGGAATAAGTGCGTTTGAGATGGCTAGGTTGGCACAGGATAGAAGAGCATTTAGAGCTCTTGTACATAGGGTCGCAATGAGTCACAAGTGACTTGATGGCACATAACAACAACAACAACACAGACTTTACCACTATTTGTTTCTAAAGCTTTTTCATTATTCTAAACAGAAACTCTGCACCCATTAAGCCATGAACCCATTCCTCTCTCCCCCAGCCAATAAGCCACTTCCGGTCTCTATATATTTGCTTAGTCTAGAAAGTTCGTATAGGTAGAATCATAAAATACTTGTCCTTTGTGTCTGATTTCTTTTACTTACCATCGTCTTGAAGGAAGCTCTGGGGGCCTAGTAGGTAAGGAGTTGCACTGCCAGCGCAAAGGCATGTAATTAAAATTCTGTGCAATTTACAGCCTCTGAAAACCCGCTGAAGAGTGAGCTGTGAGTGGGTTCCATCTCAGTGGCATTTAATATCATTAAGATCATGGTTCTGAAGCTCTTTCCCATGTTGCTGCATGTACCAGAATTCCCTTCCTTTCTAGGACTGCATATGTCTTTGTATGTAGATGGAGCTCTGGTGATATGTAGATGCCCATTTTGTCTGTTCCTTCATCCGTTGCTTCCTCTGCGTTGCTGCAGTGAACACTGATGTCAGTGAAAATGTTGATCATGTAGTGAGTCTGGGCCCTAGCCAGTAAAAGACCATCTTTCTCTATTCATCCACAGTGATAGATACAACAGAGATCTTAAACAACTCTACTGGCTTTGCCAACCAGCCCACAGCAGCCACCATTGCTTTGTTCATGGAAAAGCCCTCCATCTCTGAAACAGTAGCAGTGTTTGAGTTGCCATCTTGGCAGGATAATCTACCTCCAACACCACATCAGCTCCGTCCGTCGACAGGCAGAGTTTAGTCTGGCTTCCAGTAGAGTGGTGATTCCTGTGCTGAGGAGAGCTGCCTCTAACTGTTCATAGCTGCTTACTTCTTCTTGAGATTGATTATTAGGGTAGGAAGTAAACGATACATCAGCAGAGGCACTTTCTTTTCTGGCCTCAGCATTCCTTTATTTCCTTCCTAAAGCCCAGGGATAAACTGGGAGCTACTCTACTCCTTGGAAACACGTGGCCATAGGACCTAAGGTTCAAGAATTATACTGGCAAGCTTTCTTGGCGTAGTGAAGTATATGCTGGCTAGCTTAACAAAAGGTGAGCGGTTCAAGCCCGCCAGCCATTGTGCAGAAGAAAGATAGGCGATCTCTTCCTATTTACAGCATCAGGACCTGAGAGAGCATTACTTTGAGTCAAAATCTTAAGTAACCTTGGTTTTACTGGCCCACCCACTTCCCTTAACTGACAGGTGAGACAGACGTGGACAACTTTCATCCCTCCATAGTCAATGCTAGTCTCAGCTGAGTTGGGAGCAAAGGACAATACTCAGCTCAAGATGTCATCGGAGAGGGAGCTCTGGTGGCCTAGTGACAAGAAGTTGCACTGCAATCCCAGAAGTACGCAGTTCGAATCCACCAGATGCTCTGCTGGAGAAGGAGGGGCACTCTCCTCCAGTACCAGGCAGATCCG